GGGTGGGTGACAGTTGGCTCCCAGAGCTTCCTGGTCTCCATCTGACATTCCTGCTGCATTCCTTGGCAGACAGGACAGAAATGCCTATTGCAGAGATGCCAGTGGGCACATGCCAAGGCTCCTTCAGCCTTGCTGTTTCAATTCCAAGGAGCACCTTGACAAAGCTTAGCTGTGATGTTCTCTTAGGGGGGGACGCACACTTGGCCCTGGTTCTCATCTCTGCTCTCCTCTGTGGCCTCCTGGGTGGCTGGCTTAGGCACCAGCAACCCCATTTCCCATCTTTGGAGCCCAGGGCTGCAGCTGATGAGGCTTTCAAGAGAGCAGCTGAGGATTTGACTGAGTTCCCAGGCAAAGGTGTCCAGGGAATCCAATGCCAGTGTCACTTGGAGCTGCCACTTCTCCTAATTTAAGCACTATCACTCCATGGAACTGTACACAAGGAGCTTCTCCTCTCCAGGTTGGAGCNTGGAACTGTACACAAGTTGCTTCTCCTCTCCAGGTTGGAGTTCTCACTGGATGACTTCGGCCACCATCCCAAAAGGACAATCCAGTTGCTGCTGTTGAGTCTTGGCTAAAAAGCCCTTTGCTTCGTCTCGCCTCCTCCCATGTGTCCCCCTGGTCCTCTCTGTCAGAGTCACCTCCTGGTGAGGCCCTCCCCACTCTGCAGTGGACCCTGAAGTGATGAGCATGCCCAAGAGATAACGGGGAGGGTGAGCCTTGCAGCTCTGGCACCCCCACACCCTCGCTGGTCAACCGCAGGCTCAGGAAGACGGCTGGGAATGGCAGGCTGGTCGGGGCTGAGCCACAAGAAGTGGTCTTTAGTTTGAGAACCTTCCCCCTCCCCCAGTCAGTGCCTGGGATTTCCCACCAAAGAACCCAAATAGGAGGTGGCAGGTGATGCAGAGGGAACCCACAGTGGTGGGCCAGATGTTTCCGACTACGGCTCTCATGTTTTACAGCTGCCCCAAGAGGAACCTTCCCAGCAGACAGGGCCCGGGAGAGACAGGCTCCATTCGTTTGACTGGAGGCTGTGTCTGGGGCCCCCTTTGAGAAGCTGCTTTGTGTTACTGCTCTTCCTGAGAGTGGGGTCCCTCGGGCCAGGACCACCATGGTGTGTTGCTCACTGCATGAGGGCAGCCGAGGGTTAATAGGAGCTGAAATCCAGCCTGGGCTTTGCTTAGCCAGCTGCACACCTGTGGGGCTGCGCCCAGCACAGGGAGTCCTGTTTTTTGGTTTTGATAACTGCAGTAGAGGCTAGTTGTGCCATGTCTTAACTTTCAGTTATGTTTGGTTTTGAACCTGGGCCTTCCCTGTAGCATATACAGGGCTTCACGCAGGCCTGGTGGTTCCAGTCCACCAAACGACATAATGCTTGGCACCACATATTCCCAGACATTTGCTTTGTATGTTCAAGGTCTGGGTGAATCAGAAGGGAACTTCTATTGGAAAGAGAAGCTCACCCAGCACTGCCTCTTTGGGGGGGTTGCAAGGCCCCTTCTGCACCCAAACGAGCATGGCCCTAGCAGTGCCCATGCGCTGCATTAACTCTCCAGGATCTCATGAAATAGGGGGCACTGCCACCTTCAACAGGGTAATCCCTCTGTTCATGACACACCTGAGACTTGGAAAGAACTTGCTTTCTCCAGATGTTGCTACTTTACAAAGAAAAGAAAGGACACTGGCATGGGAGAAATTTTGGATTCAGAGTCAGTCTTGATAAGAAGCTAGCCGGCTGAGCTAACCAAACACCCAGATCAACATTTCTTTCCAACAGTTAGTCCTAAATAGCAGCTGGTCTCACGTCCTTGATCCAAGAGCTGCCCAGCTTCACTCCCTCATTTTTCCATTATTAGCCCCACAACATGGATGGTCTTTCTACACATCTGTCCCAGCACCATGACAATGCTATTGAGCTAGACGTTCACTGGCTTTTATAAGTCACAGTATGTAGCAGAAGAAATACTCGTGTAGACCTTCTTTATAGAAATCAAGCACTTTATGTATATTATATCTAGAAAATGGCTATCAAGTTGCAAGACATATTGGATGGTTGGTTAATTCCATTTGATTAGAATCCTGAGCTGAGACCATGTTCTTGGGATCCAGCCCCAAATACCCTGGGAGCTGCCACTGTTCTACAGCCATGGGCCATTACCTCCAACTCAGCACCTCTTGTGGGGATGTGGTCATCCCAAGAGCACAAGGAGCACGGAGGAGTCAGCGCAAATCCATCCCCATTTCCACCACTGGAACTAAAAGATCAGAACGCACCACTCACTAGAGTCTTCATAAAAGAATAGCAGGAAATTTAGGATTATTTTTTTTTGAAGTTTGGGCCTTTTATCATACAGATGCTAAAAATTTCAGGAGTGTGGGAGATTCTTCTTCAGCTGGCCCTGAAAACATCTCTGTAAATTCTCCCACATGCACACTTCAGGCGTCAGGAAGGTGTCTGGTGCTTTCTCATTCCAAACGCTTTGCTAACAGACCTTGGAGGACCACTGAACCGACACCACTTCTGGGATGAAGGGACATCAATAAATGCTCTTCACAGAGCTTCATTGACATCATTTTGGCCTTGCCTGATACCCACTTCTCATGAAGAGCAGCTCAGAGATGTTTGGATGTCTCGTCTCAATGCCGGTCTTCCTCTCTCCCACCCTTCGCTCAGGCGTCAACCTGAAGGGCCTCCATGGGGCTGTGGGAGCTCTGCTTTCTAATCTCCACCAACAGTCCAAGTTGCCTCACAGTACACTCTGGGCTTGTCAACAAAATCCCTAAACATCCTCCAGCCACACATCCAGGCCTCAAAAGAGACAGACAGGAATGGGTTCCTACACTTTCATCAGTCCATTGGGAATGGAGGACCTCCCATAGGCCTTGCCTTTGACAGCCTGTGGCACCTTCTTGTGGTGTGAAGCCACATGGCCATGGCAAGCCAGCCATAAGGACAGACTGGGGACCAACACGTTCTGACTTCTCACGAGGAAAGACCAAAGGAGAGAAAAGACGAGCACCCATATTTTAATTGCCATCTACTTGGGCCACTATGATGCCTACATCTAGCAAGTTCAAAATAATGTTTAAATTCAGTTAACATGCATCTAGCTATGGTAGGTAAACAACTAGGTGGCTTTCAAGCCAGATTTTGTAGAGTTTATGTTTATAGGGATGAAATAAAGATACCAATCACACAGTACTCAGGTTTTACAAGGACTTTCTTCTTCAACAGAGTGGGAAAAGGCAAGTTGGCTTCAGTGGGTTTCTACCCTTAGGAAGAGAGATGTGGCCAGTTCCATCTGTGGGACCCCTGCTGCCCAGCTCCCACATTGGTTCCCTCCGGTTTGATGTTAACAGTGCAGGCTGGGGCCCATGACTAATAGCTTGTAAGTGAATGGCAAGTAAGCGAATGAGTGGGACTGAATACTTGCTGTGCACCAGGCCCTATGCTCAAAGCTTGCAGAGAACGGCATGGAAAGGGGAAATGGGTCTGTGCTGCTCTATAGACCATAAAACTGAATCTCCCACCACAGGGGAGACCTATTCACTCAGCACTCTCACCTGTTACCACGGGGTCTCCTATGTGCCACTGTGCCGATCTCCACCCCATCTAAACTGAGTGTGCATGGGGTAAGGCCACTTTCCTACAGGGACAGTGGACCTGCAGCCCATCCTGACTCCCTCAAGGCCTTGCCCCTGGGAGCACAAGGACGGTGCAGGGCCCTGCTTCCCCCTCCACCCCAGAGCTACCTGCCCTCCTCAGCCTGTCACACTATGCAGATGAGGCTGACACTCATGCAGATGCCACTAACACACGCCAGGCTAGACCACATCGCCAGAACCCATGCAGCACGGCCACCTCCTGCACACGCGAAAGCTGCCTACACAGCAGCATTGGCTTGCAACCCGTTCCCATGTGACTGCCAGAGTTCACCGAGGGAAATTTGGAATTTTTTTTTTTAGCTGAGCTACGGTTCTGAGCCAATTTATTTCATGAGAGATTTCGATGGCCTTCTCCCCGGGCTGCTGCAGAAGATGCACAAACCGCACAGCCCCCAGGGCTGCGGGCGGGTCCTTCCTCCTCAGAGCCCTGCCGAAGGTCAAAGGCGCAGCTGGAGGCTGGCGGTGCACCTTCTGCAGAGGCAGCCTCTTGGTCTTTTGCAAATCCATCCCTGGAAGTGAAGCTGCAGACACTTGCAAAAAAAAAGGGGTGTGTTGAGGGGGAAAGCACTGGACTCCCTCCCATCCCGAGGGAAAGGACGACATAAAAGAACTGAGAAAACCAAAGGGACGCGAGGGAATGAAACCAGCTGAACTTACCACGCTGCGAGTGAACTTTTCTAAGGAAGTTCTACGACCTTGCTCACTTTCTGGCTTTAGGAAAAACAAACAAACAAACAAAAAAAAGGTAGGGAGAAAAATACAGAAAAAAAAATCTTCAGCTTACACGTGGATTCCAAACAGCACAGCGGCAGCTAATGGACAAAAAAGCAGAACGGGGCGCAGAAACGGGAAAAGAGAAGCAGCCAGCGCTGTATGCGAGGGTCAGAGGGGGAGTCAGGAACCGGGAGCCCACAGGAGGTGGTGCTGCTCCCTGGAGAGTGAGGGGAGGGGTGCGTGCCTCTCCAGGGTTCACTAATCCTCCTCAGGGCTCAGTAGGAGCCACGCTGCTCTGCGGGGGCCCCCAGTCAGCAGTCGGAGCTGCCCTGCTCACTGCTTTCCACTGGCACGGCCCATGTGCAGGAGCCCCTGCTGGTTGTATCCCTGAGCCCACAGGCAGCCATCTGGGGGCCCTAAGTGGGGGTGCAGGACAGATTAGCTCTCAGGGCCCCCAGGGTGTGTAGGGAGTGCTGATGGGACATTAAGAAGTGGCTGAGGGTCTGGGTTACGATTTTCTCTGAGATTTTCTCGCTCAGATGCAGCTAGAAAATTCGCTAACTTCAGTGACTCCCTAGTGGCCCCCTAATGACTCTCATTCTGTGTCCTTAGACTAAGGAGGGTCTGCCAATGTCTTTTGCAAAGGGTCTTGGCCTTCAGAGGAGTGTTGTGGCGAGAAAATGCTCTCTCAGTACCCAGGCAGGTGACCCCTTCCACGGTTTACCCAGGCAGGCTGTAGGAGGCTCAGGAACCTCTCTGGGAAACTCTTAGCTGAGGGCCCCCAACAGGGACAGGAGAGGTAAAGCCCTGAACACTCCCAAGGGCTGGCAGTGCACTACTATCAGAGGAGGAGGGGTGTGGTATGCAGCTGACTCTCTCCCCAAGTTTTCTGCTTGCTCAAGGGGTTTGGGGAGAGAATTACACTCCAAAGATCTGCTAGTTTATCCTAGAGTTCTGTCCCAGGGCCCTGAGGCCGGGAAATCGGGAGAGAATATACACTCACATGGACACGCATACACACACACACACACACACACACACACACACACACACACACGTGCACTCAGCAAATAACGGAAATTAAGGAGCAGAAGAAGCAGCCAGGTGTCTTTGGGTGTGCAGAATGTGCCGGGAGCAAAGGGGACAGGCCAAGAGCTGCCACCTGTCTGTGTGGACAGGTCAGAGGGATCCCTTGGCAGTGATGCCCCTGTCCCCTCACTGGCTGCCTGAAGACACACAGGACATTGCAGAAGGAAAGCATGACATAAAAGACCCAGCACTACAGAGCCAGGCTGGTCTCTCTCCTGGCACAAGGGACCAAAGGATCACGCCTGGTCCTGACTACCACACCAAGTCTCTGCTCTGGGGATGGCAGAACTCAGCTTCAGTACAGTGGGCGGCCCGGGTGGCATACATTTGGCTCAAGTCAGGTGGGCCCAGGCCCTGCAGTCAGCATTCTGTGCCTATCATTCCTGAGCTCTGGCGACTGAGTTGCTGCTTGTAGAGGGGAGCCATTGGTCTGGCTCAATGGGGTTCCTCTGTCTCACACAGCCCCCTCCAAGTGGGCCTGGAAAAATCAGTTACTGGTACTTAACTGTCCTGGAGGAGCCATCAAAACCCAGCTCACTGGCTCTTGGAAACCTGGCATGTCAAAGTGACTAACCCCATCTTCTGTACTAGCGTAGAAGGTGAGTCAGAGATGAAGGACCAGAAGGCTGTGTCTCCAGACCTTTCTCAGGAGAAAAGTGAGGCCCATTCATATCCCCTCTCTTAGCAGGAGGTGTGACTCTCACATACCTTTTATGACCTGGAAATTTATATCCCATGGCAAGCCCATCCCTGAAATCAGAAGATACTCAAGGCCTACCTGAAAGTGCCAAGTTACAAATCCAGTCCACAACTGGAGACTCTCAGGGGAAATGGGGAGAAAATAGGTTTTGTCACTTTTTATGGAAACAGTTAACCCCTGGCTATGGAAAGGGTGCCCGTATCTGCAAGGATTTTCTGCCACAAGAATGTCCCTTAATTTGGGGGCTGGGAGGATACTTCTAATGAATTTCATTTGTAACATTTCACAGGGAGGCCATGGGTTCCTTTCTCATTCAAGTGACCTCCTCTGAGAAGTTTTCCTCTTATGGGAGGACCTGCTCAAGCCCCCAAGGAGACTGAATGGCCTCTGGCTGCTTCTGGGTGTACAGATAAGCCCGGACTGCTCAGACTGCTAGAGCCTCAGGATTTCAGAGTCTTGAGACACAAGATATAAGAAACACTTACTCTGACATTCTCGCATGAGATTTGGGCTGGAGATAGCAAAAGTCTCCATAACCTTCCTTGAAAAAATGGGCATCAGAGATATTTGTGGGGTATCAGCCCCCTCTGTCAGAGCCCTGCCACTTCCCTCCTCTTGCAAGGGAACTGGCAAGAGGCCAAGATTCACATTTCCATTATAGTAGTGACACCTGATGAAGGACACCTGATGAAAAGGGGTGCAGGCAACCGAGAAAGCTGGGTTTCTGACCATCTGGATATTCCAGAAGTCCCTTACTGTTCCTCAGACTATCAGGGATGTCCTCAGGGCTCCCTAAGGGCAGAGAGCAGATTCCCTAAATGCTAGTCGAGACTGGAGTTATTTGGTACCAACCAGATACGCAGACAGGATCCTGGCACAGGAGGCCGAAATACACACAGAGACAGGGACTGCGTGGCCGAGGCAGCCCCAGTGGGTAATCACATGCCTAGGGCCTGGGCTTGGATGGCTGGGAGCAGGGAAGAAAGGATGAAGGTGCTTATGTTTGTTCCTTAAGTGGCAGGGCACAGAAGTCGTGGAATTTGGTGCCAGGAGGGACACACTTAACCACATGCAGGCCTTGGATCAGAGCCGAAAAGTGCGGAGGGCTTGCAGGCAGACTGGAATCACTAACCGTCTCTCGTGCTTCCTCTTTCCCGGACCCCATGCCCCTCTCGGCTCTCCCTTCCCTCCTCCCAGAACCCAGCTGAGCTCATCCGTGCTTTGGTCACCCCTCACCGCCTGTACACTGAGGGTCTCTAGGCCCCCAAATCCAGGTGCCAGGGGTTGCCGGGAACCATGACATCATTCTAAGTGGGGGACAGAGGAGCTAGGATACGGCTACTTCTTGGTGAAAAGGAACCACAAACACTGTGGGTGGGTGAGGGAGAGGAAGGGGGTGTCAAGGAGGAAACAATCCCAGCAGTGACATCACGTGCCAGACGGCCCCCTGGAAACCTATAAGGTCTTCTCTCCAGTGAGGTGGCTGCCTCAGTCCTTGCCTCACCATCATCTCTGAGCTGGTCATGGAGGGACCCTCTGTGGGACGTGGGCTGGACTTAGTAGTGAGGGGCCTTCCCTGGTTTCCTAAGGGACTCACTGGTGTCACTGCCAGCCTGGTACTTCTGTCCTGAGCCACTGTGGCCTTAGTATTTGGTCACACTCCCTGTTGTGGGCAGAACACGCAGATGGGGTAATGAGCACATGGAGACAGGATGCCACACCATGGACCTTGGGGGCTGTGACAATCCTAACTGTCTTCCAGTGGAGTAGGAGCAGATAGGGAAGGGAAAGGAGAAAAGAGAAAGTAAATAAAACCCAAGGGATGATATTCTCATTTCACACCAGCGGCAAGCAGCAGGCAAGGCTAAGAAAGGCAAGCCTGCCCTTTCCAAAGATACCTTCTTCTTGGCCAGCAGCAAGTCCTGGTAAGCGTTTGACCGGAGGAAGCGAGCGTAGCTGTCACTCTTCATCAGCTTGTAGATGTGCTCCTGGGAAGGAAGGAGGCGAAGACACAGAAGGAACTGTCAACTGAGGCTACAGGGAATTACCACCCAACCAGCCCACCAATTTAGGAAGAAACAAGGAGCCGAGGTAAGCTTGTGTGTGCTTAGGAAAACCTGCACCGTGCTTGTTCTATGTTTTTGTCCTACTCAGAAACACCGAACAGAGAATATCTTATCTCCGAATTAAAGACCTTTGAGGATCATGTCCTTGGTGCCATGTTAAGGCACAGTATTGCTCAGTGATTAAACCATGGGCAGAGCAATGAGAAGGGAAAGACTACTGATGCACCCAACCAAGTGGATAAACCTCAGGGAATTACGATGAGTGAAAAAGCCCCAGAAGGCTATGTGCTATAGATTTCACTGACATAACATTCTTGAAATCACAAATTATAGAAACAGAGAACAGATTAGTGGTTGCCAGAGGTTAGGGATGGGAGAGGGGAAGAGCGGGGAGGGAGGTGTGGTTAAAAAGACAATAGAAGGATTCTGACGGCGATAAATTAGCTCTGTATCTTGGCACATCTTACACACGTGATCAAGTTGTACAGAGCTAAACACACACACACTACACACGAGTACCAGTAAAACCAGAAAATCTGATAAACTCAGTGGATGTAGCAATGTTGATATCATGGTTATGACATTGTACTATAGTTCTGCATATGTTACCTTTAGGGGAAACTGGATAAATGATATATCTCTGCATTATTTCATTCAACTGCGTGTGAATTGAGAAGCATCTCAAAATAGAAAGTTTAATTAAAAAAACACACACCTCCACATGCAACTATACAATTGGGTCAGTTGTTTACGTCAAGGCCACCATCTCATCCTGGAAGGGTGTCCTTGGAACCAGATCACAGGGTACGTGGGCAAATATGCCAGGCCCAAGGCTCACATCCAGGAGGGCAGATGCTGTGGCCTGGTGCCTTCTCTTCTCCTGTGCTCGGAGAGGTGTTTACATTCTGGCCTTGGCAACAAATTTCACCCTTGACTTCAAGCTAATCCCTCTAGTCTCCTGGTCCCTTCCTAAAAGCTGTCCTCACTAAGGGCAGAGAAAGCCTGGTTCATTAAGAGGGAGTCTGTCCATTGAAAAAGGGTTATTTATCAGTTGAAATGGAATATAGCTCAGCTGTACAGGAAAGCCTGGCCGTCCCGAGAAGACCTGTGAGGAGGGCAGGGGGGATTGTCAGGCAGAGGTTGGCCTGGTAGGGGAGCGTCTTCCCTGATCACACTCATAGTTCACCCTATGAAGCTGGACCAGAGCCCTAGTGCTCGGGAGAATGGAGAGCTGTTCAGCGAGGAAACGGGGCTCAGCTGAGCCCTGGACTGGTCCTTAAGCGCCTCTTCCTCTCGCACTCTTCCCAGGGGAGGGGTGGGAAATAGGAACATTTCAGAGATACCTGGCCAGACTGCTGGCACATCGCAGGGGAAGCTGAGGCATGACAAGGGCTTTCCAAGACCCTCTCCCTATCCACTGCAAAAGAAAGTGAATGCAGAAAGCAAGAGTCCCCTTGGCCACAGGTGAATCCCTCTCTACCCACCTTCAGTTGGACTATATGCAGAGCTATCTGGGCACCAGTTTCACTCTTCCTCATAGTTACAAAAGCAGGTGCAACCCTCCCCATAGGAACGGGCCCAGTGCAAGGAGCCAGCGGAATTAAACAGTGGCTTGGATCTGAGCCTGCCTGGATAGTCCAGATGTGTTCTGATTTAATGCATTTAGTGAGAACACACCTCAATAAGTGTTTTTCTGCACATTTCAGACAAAGATCAGGCCCACTCTAGTTTTAAGTTCCTTGAGGGAACAATATGTTTTCCTCTCATCTATGCATCACATCCAACACAGGTCAAATGTTAGTGGAACTTACATTGTTTCTTGGTTCAGTGAGATGCTTGTTTGAATTTAATGTTTGCAGGCTCCATACTTGTTTTGGTTTATGATGGGATCAATTCCTGCTCTCTGTGTGGAAGGAGAGTGGGGATCACGCTCAGCTCCAGGGAAGTCCGTATGTGAGCATCTTGGTCCAACCCGGTCTTGGAGCCCAGACTGAGGGACATGATGGTCTTTGTTTGCATTTTTTGTCTCTTTAAATTGTCCTAACATTTAAATCTTAAGTACAAATGTTAAAGCAGAGTGAAAATGACTCACTGTCTCCTTATTATTGTCTCAGGCATCACTACTGTGTGGCCAACACAGCCAGGTGGCTCCTGAATCATCTGGAGAGGGCTGTCAGTCATGCCTGGACCCTCTCTAAATCCCTGTCCAAGGCAACACGTCCCTGCGTCTTGTTCTTGCTTCTCAGAGGAATCTAAACTCCCAGGTATGTCTCGCAAAATACCCCGTTACCCCAAGAGGACTAGGGAAGCCTCTCCTAGCCCAGTCCTTCTGGCCTCGGCAACAAATTCCACTCCCATTCCAGCTAATTCCTCCAGCCTCATCATGGGCAGGAAAAGCCTAGTCCATTGAAAGAAAACTTATCAATTAAAAAAGAACAGGATAAAGCAGATGCCTAAACACTTAATCACACAAACATTCCAGCAATCATTTATTGAGCAGCTAGTAGTAGGTGCCAGGCCCTGTGTCGGGCATTGAGATTACAGCCTGAAAAGACAGAAGAGGTCCCTGCTGTAGTAAAGATACCCTTAGGCACAACAGATGCACAAAGATCATCCACTGCTACTATCAAAGTCAACAGGCCCAAGCGACTATTTAATTTTGTTTGGCTCCTTGCAGGGGCCCATTCCCATTAGTAGGGTTACACCTTGCTTTTGTAAATATGGGGGCATATTTGCGGTAAAGGTTACAAAGAAGTGCAAGTAGAGAGTGCTGTGAATAGGTGTGAACGGGATGACCTACCGGGCCAGGTTGGGAAAGTGTTGTCTATCAACCAGAGGGGTCCTCATCAAGGTAGGAAGATCTTAGCAGACAGAATAGGGAATTGAGGGCGGGGCTGCCTGTGGTCTTGCTGCCGTATAGTTTGGTCAATCAGAGCAGAAAGGACCCTCCAGCGGCAAGGAAGAAGGAGCAGCAGACAATGGTGGTCTACTCTGGGGGTGGGGGAGTCGATGTGGGTCAGAGGAGCAGTTTGGGAACCGCTGTTGTCCTCCCCAGGTCATAAGGCCAAGTTCAAAGCCAGAACCAAGGTGGGGATGGTGTGGGAAGAAAGCAGGGAGTGAGAACATGACCTGTTGAAGGTAGGTTGCACGAGGCGATCTTACTCTGCCAATCCTGTTGCTAGCTCTTGGCGATCACTAGGGCCGTCTCAAATCACCCCATGAGGCAGCAACCACCAAAGCAACAACAGCAGATGCAAGGCTTGGTCTGAGAAAAGCAGAATCGAGAGCCTCTGCAGATCTCCTGTGCCCCTTGCAGAGCCGTGACTTCGGGGCCCCTCTGGTCTGGACCTTCCTTTCCCACAGTCTACGGTCCACGACTCCTCCACCCGCCTCTCCTCCTCCAAGCAAAGCAATGGAGCCTTTGATGTACCCAGTTATGGGACTCTGTTGCTTCCTCCTTGCCAGCTTTGTCTTGGAAACACAAAGACAGTAAACAGGGGGTGGGTGAATGGAGCGCGGAGGTTTTTCTGGGAATGAGAATTAAGATAGGACTCAGGGTCTTTGGCCAGTTCCCAAATGCAATGAGTTTATCACTGCCAGGGACAGCAAGTGTACAAAGCTCTTGGCAGTGACCTCTATTGATTTATGGGGGAGGAGGGTGGGTTCTGGTTTGTTTCCCCTGCTCTGCAGACAACCAGTCTTAAAGGGAAATGTATATCCAGAATCTGCAGAGAGCAAGAGAGCCACTGGTAAAACCAGCTCCCCCCTGCCCCATGAAAATTCCTGAGAGGCTAGAGAGAAAGAAGTTTGCTCTTTTCTTCTTTGCTCACCCCCCACATCTTATCTTTCTCTCTCCTTCCTTCCCTTCCTCTCTGTTCTTTTTTCTCTCCCCTCCCTCCCTCCTTCTGCCTCCCCCCTTCTCTCTCTCTTCCTAAAGAAGAGATGATTGAACTGACTATGAACAAGCAGAACTACGAGGGTCCATAGCTGCCTTCCTGACGCAGGGGGAGGTGCCCACTGCAGGGTGAGGATGGTTCTCCGGAGATTGGGAATCTGATGCTCTAGAGCCCTTAGTCATATCATACGGACCGTCGTGGCCACATTTCCTAGAGGGGACTCTCTTCTCCACCCTCCTTTCCCTCCCTGGGCTTGGCCCAGGCCCTGGGACAGGGAGCTTGGCCTGCCTGGGAGGCTAAGGTGGAAGCAGAAGCAACTGGAGTCAGTAGGGTCCACGGCACACGTGGGAGCTGGAGGGAGCGAACAGGGCGAGCTGTCTCAAAACTACAACTTCCGCAAGCTGATGTTTTGCTGGGACAGCCTCGTTTGGAAATCGCCTTTATTTTTAGACAAAACACAGTGACCCTTCCAAGCGTTGGAAAAGCAGTCAGACAATTGCCCGAGGCCTTGGGCCCTAGGCATGCGGGAGCAGCTGAACTACTTAAGAACACCCTTCTGTCTCCTCTTTGCTGTGGGTCCCTGAAACAGCCGAGATCTCACTTCCCAGCTTAGAAGGTCCTCCAGGGACGGGAAGCCACTCAGCTGGAGTGTCACGCAGCTCGCACAGCTGCCGAGAGCCCTTCCTGTGCGTTTCAAGTGTTCTATTTTTCCGTTTGCAGGTGTATGAGCCTCGTCTCTGCCCTCCGTCCCCGAGCTTCCTGCAACGACATGCAGACTCTGGAGACTGTTGGGTCCCTTGCAGTCCCTTGGAGAACGATGGGGCTGTGGGGCAGAATGTGCGGCTGCTGTGTGGGGTGGTCCCAGGGGAGCTGGGCTGGCAGCTCAGGGCTTGGATTCAGGTTCTGACTCTGCCTTTTTCCAGCCCTGTCTATCACCTAATCAAGCAAGGAGACACAAGTGAAAGCACTAGTCACGTAAGGTAATAATCATCACTGGCCTTCCTGGTGTGACTGTCCTTGCCAGAG